CGTTTAAAGTATGTGTCCGTTTCCTCGCCTGCATTTCATATTCTCTGGTCCTGTTTTCAGCGGGGATGCCTTGACTCTCAAAAGCTTAAACTCTGCAGCTTCCCTCTGAGACTGTTTTCAACTGTGTTATCATTTGAATTCTGTCTCTATTCTTGCTGCACCTGCCAGACCAGAGGTCCGAGCAGGTGGTCATATAAAGTTACTTTATACAGACGCAGACCATTGGTCCACCCCTGTCAACGTTGTCTGTGTTGATTGGTGTAGGCAATAGTCACTCTCCATGTTCTCCGGCAGAGAGGGGTCTTTCCCAACTCCAGCTGCCCTGGGGGCCTTTAACTGGAAGAACTGGGGACTGAAGAATGAAACATCTGGTCTTCCTTTATGCAAGCGGGGCCGTGACACTGTGCTGTGGCTTATGTTCACAGCCATGTCTTAAAAGTCCTCGTTTTTATTGCATCCCCATCACGTGTTTTTCCCTTCCCCATATTCGTAGTGTAAAATTGGAACTGTCTGTGTAACCTGCGCAGAATCCACAAGTTGGGGTAGGATATATACCTTACAAGTGCCTAAAGGGTTCCGTGCGTGGTTGTTCCGATCACGTCTCCGGAACCACTTCGTGGCCCACGACCGACTCAAGACGCCCCCGGAGCCTTCTATTTCAAGCCCTTGACAAAATGTGTCTTCCCACCTCAAGCCAAATATATCCGGAGCACCAGATTGCCGCAAATAGTGCAGCAACCTTGGTCAGCCCAGTCGGGGCTTCGGGGAGCGCTTTTCTACCTCCAGGTTCCGTTCGATCACTTGGCTCCGAAAGCAAACTTAAGACAAACAATTGACCCCACCCCCGTTAGTAGTCTCTGGTCCTATGATGCTTCCTTTACATCCCGTGCACACGTTCTTTAGCTCTGCAGAGTGCGGGTTTTTCAGGACTTGTATTTTAAGCATCTGAACCAGGAAACCGTTATCCTGGCTTCCGGGGATGGGTGGCAGAAGGCCAGAGGAGAGGGGGTGTTGGAAGGAAGAAGGCAAAGGGGAGGCGGGTGAGAAGTGATCTGCGAGCTCCTTCCCCAGCTGCGCTCACCCACCCTGGAGCAGTGAGCTGCAGAGCCTTAGTAGCCAAGGCGAGGAGTGAAGTTGGTTTGCCAGTGCCTTGAAAAATCGCTAGTCCGCTTCCACAGAAACTTCGCATTCTAGGCATGGCCTTTGAAAATGGCTTGCTTGGAGGACATGCCAGGGTCCCCTCTCTTTGCGGCCAGAGGATCTGAGTCCGTGTCCTTCACTGTGCATGGGGATAAAGATTGTAGGTGACAGTGTAGGCCTGAGGGCAAACTCTGCAAACAGGAGTTGTGGTCAATGCTCCCTCTGAGCTGTGGAATCTTGTGAGCAAAAAATCTATTTTATGAGCTACTGGCGTTAAAGTTGTGAGCGAGCGATTTGGCTGCTGCGTAAATTGGTTTGCCCTGGAGCCATCCTTCCTGAGTGAAAGACAAAAATCTGTGAGCCGGAGGCTAAAAAACTGTGAGCTAGCTCACGCTAACTCAGCTTAGAGGGAACATTGGTTGTGGTTTTTTTTACCATGTTTATTTTTCATTTTTTCAAAAAGAAAGCAAACATTTCAAGCTATTAGATTACATAAAAGTATAGAGTCTATAGACTCTTAACCATCTTTTGTCCTGTACTTTGTTATCTTTATCTTGAAGCAATAAACTCAAGTTATCCATTTGTGCAAGTTCTAGCAATTTAAGTGTTAAGTCCTCTTTTGAGGGTCTTTTATCCAGTTTCCAGTTTTTTGCCAATAATATTCGAGCAGCCGTTATAATATATGTTAGTGCATATACATCTTGTGCAGGACAGCCATTTGGAATTATATTTAGCAAATATATTTCAGGTGTTGTTAAAATGTCTAAACCCAAAACAGGAGTTGTGTCAACAGCTTTTTACCTGGACCAAACAAAATGCAGCAAGGGCTTTTTGTGTGTGTGTGTCTTCCTCAGAACTTGGGATGGAATTTTCCAAAGGAACAGAATAAAAGCTGCTCTGATTCTGCTACATTTGGGCAGCGCCAGCCCTGGCAGGGACGTGTATCTTTCCAGGGCATCCCTGGCATGTAGCGCGGCATGCCTCCTCACGGGCAAAGAGTTTCATGGGAGGGATCTTTAAAAGCCGTTTCCAAATCTCCACTGGAATATCCAGGTTTCCACTCGCCGCCAGTATTGCTTGTTCAGGATATTAGCTTTAAAAAAAAAAAAGACCTCGACATTTTATATCTCTCCTTTTGCGAGATCTGTAAGGTTAAGCTTATAACAAGAATGTAAGCCAACCTAGCAGTTCGAAAGCAAGAAATTGCAAGTAGATAGATAGGTACCACTTCAGTGGGAAGGTAACAGCGTTCCGTGCGCCTTGGTGTTTAGTCATGCCGGCCACATGACCACGGAAACGTCGTCGGACAGCGCTGGCTTTTCGGCTTGGAAACGGAGATGAGCACCGCAACCCTAGAGTCGGACTCGACTGGCTTTCGAGCAAGGGAACCTTTACCTTTAAGCCTCATAAGTGGCATCACAGGACAGAGAGTAAGAGAGACAACCCGTAAGACAAGGAAGGCAATAAAAAAGCTCCGGTTTAATTATAAGAACTCGCAAATCCGGCAGAGCTAGTTGCCTGCTTGGACACCCAAGCCGATCAGAACGGTGCTTCCCTGTTGCACGTGTATCATTACCCACAGCCAGCAAAACAGCCTGTCGTCATGCTCCCCCATTGGACAGGAATAGACGGCAGAACCAACTGGATCTCAGGTGGCACAACTACTTCAGCTGGAGCCTCCCGTTGCATCCCTCTCACTTTTTACTTAGACCTTGAATAAAACTGTGTTGGTCTTAAAGTTGCCCCTGGACTCAAACTTGGTTCTGCTGCTTCAGACCAACACGGCTACCCACCTGAATTCCCCCAGAGCAGAGATTTGGAGGTTTCTGACTGTGATTTGCAAAGCAGCAATTATGGCTGTTTTTGGCATTTGCAGGACGGATCGATTCTCTGCTGTTTGAACAAGTTTCTTGGTAAATCTGCTCTTAGCCAGTGACCTCACCGATCCTCTCTGTCACTCATGTACTTCCCGTTCCTCCATCTGAGTCTGAGGTCGTGTGTCTCTTGCTTACCTTTCCCTAAGCACCATGATGCTTGATGATTATTGTGATGCACTTGTCACGAATCTCCTTATGAAAGAGGCGTTTATTTTATTTTATTAATAAATGTTATTCGTAAATAAATATTTGTTAGCCCCCCTTTCTTCCAGGCAGGGTTCAAGGTGGCTCACCATAGAGATCAGTTTCGATTCAAGTCCCGTAGCCCTTCAGAGACCAGGGAGAGTCTTAGGGTCTAAGCTTTCGAGAGTCAGAACCACAATATAGATAAAATACATAAAACCCAGAACTTAAAATCACAGTTTAGGACTTCTAGTAAAGTAATCAAATGCGATCCTAAATAAAGCTGTCTTCCACTGCCTCTTAAAGACTGAAAATGAAAGTGAGTCTGTTGGACTGCAGCAGCGAGACGGGACGAGATGCGAAGGGAGCGTGAGAGTTTTACTTCTGGGCACGGTTCCGATTAGTGGCTTTTGCCTTGACCTGCATAGCCCAGGCAAGCCCGATCTCAGAAGCCAAGCGGGGTCGACTCCGGCAAGTACTTGGATGGGAGACCTCCTTGGAATACCAGCAGTCGGGAGGCGGGGGCAGGCTTTATTTCTGAATATCCTCCAGGCCCCCAATAGTGGTCAGTCACCAGAGGTCGCCATGACTTCCGGTGCACGCACGCTCACTCACTCACATGCACGCACACACGCGTGCGCGCACATATGGGGGGGTGAGTAGTGACTTTGGCCCTTTTAAGTCTTTAAGAGGTTTCTGAAGGACTGCCTGCTCATGCATGACCCTGTCCTGCGTGCCCCTTATGTTTGGGTGGTGACTCTTGGAGACGGGTCCTTCTCTACGGCGGCACCTCATTCCTAGAATTTTCTCCTCGTGCATATTTACCTGGTACCTGCCTTGCTGAATTCTGGTTGCCAGATAAAAACCACCCAGGTCCTTAGGGGAGCATTTTGTCTTTGGCTGTCTCTGTCTTCCTCTTACTGCAGTTGCTGGTTTTTGTTTTACGGGCAGCTCACTGTGGGTTTTGATGAATCTCTGAATGATTGTAAACGTCCCCAAGAACCCTACGTGTCAGTTGGCAGGGTATAAATGCGTATAAAATCAACGTACGTAAACCCACACTTCCAATAATAACTCCTTAGGCTTTTCAGGAATCTTGACTTTTCACTGTGGGGTGGGAAGCGTAGTGTGAGCCAAAATGTCGGCATAATTAACCAGATTTCTAATAATAAACCGGAGGAGGCTGACACCGCACCGGGTCCAAGGGGCAGGCCGTCTGGAGGCCTCTGCCGGCCGGATTCTATATCCGTCCCTGGGAAGGATGGCTGGTGGTGGGTGGCCAAAACCCTGCCGATATATGGAGGGCAGTCGCGTCTGAGCGAGCCATCGCCACGCCGGAGTGGGGAAGCTCTTCTGCGTTCTGCCAGCCCCGAGACTCCGGAGGGATTTTGCAGCCCGTAAAGCGTCTTTCCAGTTGTCTTCTGCTGCTGATTGACGTGCTGTCAGGAAGCATGAGGTTGTACCTGACTTCCTGGTCTGTCTTTTTCACTCGGCCCGTACCAGCGGCCCTTCCAGAGGGTCCCTCCCCCAAATAAAAATGTCAGTATCTCAAGGAGAGAGGGAACTTTTCAGGCAGCTTCTGGCCCCCCCCCCCCGAGCACCTGCATTTTCTGATTGTGCTTCTTCTTCTTTATATGTGTGTGAGCAGCTGTTTACTTGGTCACCTGGGGTGAGGCGAGGTCTCCCCCAAGCGCCTTAGGTTGCGACAGCTGATTGGGCTTCCTTCCACTCATCTCTCTCCTTTGCCGTAGCCCGGCTTCTAAAAATGTGTTTACTTTCTTTGTGGGGCAACGTTTCTAGATGGTTTCACCCAAACATCACTGGCGTGGAGGCAGAGAACCTGCTCCTGACACGTGGCGTCGACGGCAGCTTCCTGGCCAGGCCTAGCAAAAGCAACCCAGGAGACTTCCCTCTTTCCGTTCGGTAAGTCGCTCGTGCGTGAAGAGGGTTTCTTTTCCCTTGAAATTACGAGGGAGTTCCTTTCAGGCACAGATCCTCAGCTCACACTCCCCTGCGCTAGATCTCTTGCAGCATCATGCAAAATTTGCAGGGAATTCGCAGAACGTAGCTGAATCATAGAATGCAGATGTTTTGTTCAATCTGTCCTGTGATTTTCGAGAATGCATAGGCCATTCAGTAATTTTAAATACCGTATTTTTCGGACCATAAGACGCACCTGACCTTAAGACGCACCTAGTTTTTAAAGGAGGAAAACAGGGGAAAAAATATTCTGAACCTTTGGTCCATAAGACGCACTCACTTTTCCTCCCACTTTTTTTGGAAGAAAAAGTGAGTCTTATGGTCCAAAAAATACGGTAATGTGTATTTCCTAAAATTGATAAGATTCACGTACATTGCTGTAACTGATCTTGTGCTGGTCACGAACCGTATTAATACATTTGATTTGGATGTCCAGATTGAACCCGAGACACGTTTTGCGACCTTCACGGAGAGCCGGGGGGGTAAATTCTGGCACAGCCGTGGGGCTTGGGCCACTCGGAAGCTTGCCCTTTCGGCTTCCTCCTCACAACTTTTCGGTTTCGTGCCGGGTAGCCGAGAAAGGTGCGACACGCCCTCCCCTTCCAAATTTTTTGACCCGCTGGCTTCAGTGCAACACGTATGAATGCCATATGTGTCGTGCGTGCCGCGGTGCACACATGGATGGTTCACGCCCCTCCTTTGTCAGTAGCATAGCAGCGAACACAGTCAGCCCCAGGAGGGGGACTCACTGAGATGACTCCTGTTCTTTGGAGCTGGACGGGGGCAGGAGAGAGGCAAGCCCTGGAGAGGCTGGTAGAAAGCTGGCGGACACTCTGGTGGCATCAGCTCAGGGCAGCCCCCGGGGCGAGAGAAGCCGAGGTGCTCCAAGATTCATAGGACAGCATGAGGGCCACTGCAGGCTCGTCCTGGGGAGACAGAAGAAAGCTGTAAATTGTGCGCTTGAAACAGCCTTGTATGTTCTGTTATCAGCACGATAACAACAGTATAACAAAATCAAGACAGATACAGAAAATAGCGCAAAGAGGTCCAGAAAATGTTGTTTGTTGACGAAGTTCTCTGGACTGCCAAGTCGTTTCGGAAAGCTTCATCCGAACGGGACCATCTACAACTGTGGCTTCTGATCTTTTTTTCATGATTGATTGAAAGGCAGTTCCTGAATTGCTTCATAAGAGCATCTCAATGCTTCCCATCATACTCCTAAATACATGTATAGTTCAAAGCGGGCCATCTGTGTGGAAGAACGCGAAGATGGCTCGCTTTGAACTATAGATGCACTTAGAACTGTCTGTCCTTGAAGAAGAGCAGTCTCTGCCAGAGCTCTCTCAGCCCCACCTACCTCACAGGGTGTCTGTTGTGGGGAAGAGAAGGAGATTATGAGGTGCTCTGAGACTCCTTTGGGTAGTGAAGGGCGGGGTATAAATCCAATCTCCTCTTCTTCTTCTTGTACGGGGGCACAGTTGTTTCCAGTTGTTCCCAACAGGCCCTCTAGTTGCCGTTTGTAACAATTTTGCGCGTTCGATATTATCGGACTTATTTGCTTGGGATCAGCTATAGGACAACATCATCCCCAGATAACTGTTTTACCATCATTGTATATTTTCGGGGACTATCCTGCTTTCAACTGAATACTATTGTTGTTGTGACTAATTGTTATTAATGTTTTTATTGCTTTTATCCTGTTTTATATGGGCTTTTCCCTTGTAAGCCGCCCTGAGCCCGTTTTGCGGGGAGGGCGGGGTAAAAATCCCAATAAACAAACAAACAAAAGAGGGTGGGGGGCCGTGCTGGAACTCGTCCCCTGTTGAAACGCTGCTGAGGGCGAACGCACGTGCAGCGCAGACAGGAAGCTGTCCTGTTTCCTCCTCGGAAGGAAAGTGGCAGCTCGGGGCCATCGGGTTTTCTGTTTCCTCCTCGGAAGAAAAGCCTTTGTGTTTCCTCCTCGGAAGAACAGCGGGTGCTCGGGGCTGGCGGGCTGGAGTCAGTCTTGTCCTTTGTCTTTCCCTGACGTGTCCGGCCGTCGTCACCCCCAGGCGGAATGGAGCCGTCACTCACATCAAGATCCAGAATACGGGCGACTACTATGACCTCTACGGAGGGGAGAAGTTTGCCACCTTGGCGGAGCTGGTCCAGTACTACATGGAGCATCACGGGCAGCTCAAAGAGAAAAATGGGGATGTGATCGAACTCAAGTACCCGCTCAACTGCGCCGACCCCACGTCGGAAAGGTGAGGCGCGCGAGCGGGGCGGGGGGGGGGCAGCGGCCAGATGGAGCGAGTCTTGCCTGGTAGGAGGATTTCCTAGTGGAGATGTCAGAGGGGCTCCTTGTTCTCCCAGCCTAGCCATGAGTTCTGGGCGCGGCCTGGATCGAGGCTCACGTCCCAAAAGCGAACGGAGGGGGCCGGCACGGTAGGCAAGCAGTTCCGTTTACACCCGAACAGCGGCCGGCGCGGTCAGCTGCTTTGCCAGGTCCAATTGGCCCTTGTGTTGTCAGTGCCCTGTAACCGATGGCTGCACCCCCATCACCAGCCAGGGGCCTTGGTGGCGCGGCAGACACCGAACCAGCCTGTTTGATGCCCCACTGATGCAGGGCGTAGGGCGCCCCCTCCCGTGCTGCCGGAGCCCTCTCCAGCTTGAGATCAGTGTTCCCTCTAAGCTGAGTCAGTGTGAGCCAGCTCACAGTTTTTTAGCCTCCGGCTCACACCTTTTTTTGTCTCGGCTCAGGGGGGAGGGCTCCACAGGAAACTTAATTCATGCAGGAGTCAAATTGCCCTCTCACAACTTTAATGCCAGTCGCTCACAAAGTGGAATTCTTGCTCATAAGACTCCACAGCTTAGAGGAAGCATTGCTTGAGATCCCTGGCCCCTTAGAGCCAACCAGGACGGGTCGCCGTGTTAGGCTGTCCGTTGTATTTGAAAAGAGCAGGAGTCCAGGAGCACCTTCAAGACTAACAGAATCTGTGGCAGGGGGGGAGGAGGTTTTGGGAGTGACTCACGGCAGCTCACGCCCTGCCACAAATTTTATTCGTCTTTAAGGCATTACCGAACTCTTGCTTTTTTCCTGCTGCTAGAGTCAGCTGTGTGTCTGTCAATGCTCTCTCTAAGCTGTGGGGTCTTGTGAGCAGAAATTCTACTTTGTGAGCGAGTGGCATTAAAGTTGTGATCCAGCGATTTGGCTGCTGCACAAATTGGTTTGCTCTGGAGCCGTCCTTCCTGAGCTAAGACAGAAATCTGTGAGCCGGAGGCGAAAAAACTGTGAGCTAGCTCACACTAACTCAGCTTAGAGGGAACACTGCTGTCTGTCTGTCTCTGTGGAGGGGCTGCTTTGCCAGGCTTATTTATTATTTTAGAAAATTGTGATGCCCCCCTCTGCAGTGCAGTGCAAAATATTCAAGTATTCAAGGGCAAAATCAATATTCAGTGTGCAAGTCAATATTCAAGTGCAAAATATTCAAGTATTTGTACCCTGCTTTTGAGCCAAGACTTGCCCTTGAGGCGATTCATTCCAGAGCTCTGTGCAGCAAGAAACTAACGGAGGGGAAATCAGTGTTCCCCCCCAAGTCTTAAACGACTCTTGGAGGAGTCTCCCTGTTGCATCTCTGCACGAGTCATTGCTCTTGGCAGTCAGGGTGAGCTCCTCTGAGGCTGTGTGAGTCTTACTTTTGTCTGCTCTGGAAAGCAAGCCATTTGACTGGAAGGATTAAGTTCTGCCAGCTGTCCATTTTTCAGAATTTAAATCGGAGGCTCACATCTGTCAGCAAAGATGGAAATATTGTCCTGACCACGACATTGCCCTGGCTTGGGAGAGAGGGGGTGTGACTGCGTGGCAGAGCTCCTGTGTTGCATGCAGATGTTCCCAGGTTCAGTCTCCAGCAGAAAGGTCTCGTAGATGTTTTTGGCAATCCTGAGACAGTGTGGCGTGAACAGACTAGTCCTCCGGTTTGCTTTAGGGCAGCTCTGTAGGCTTGGGTGGCAGTAGCCGAGTGCAGGTGATCCGTGGGGCAGCCGGAAGCCGCCACCCTCTTCCTCCTCCTCTTGCTCTTTCCAAAGGTGGTTCCACGGGCACCTTTCTGGGAAAGAAGCAGAGAAGCTGTTAACGGAAAAAGGGAAACACGGGAGCTTCCTCGTCCGCGAGAGCCAGAGCCATCCCGGAGACTTTGTCCTTTCTGTCCGGACGGGGGACGATAAAGGAGAGAGCAATGACGGGAAGTCGAAAGTGACACATGTCATGATCCGGTGCCAGGTAAAGGAGGGGCAGAGGCGCTCAAATGTCCAGGCGGGAGGTGGCAGGGGTGGCGTGGGGAACATTCTTCCCGGGAAGCCGGAGTTGAGGAAAAAAACCCCATGCATGGCTCCATCCCCCTCGTATTTCCGCACGTGCCCAAGTAGGTGTCTTTTCATCATGTGGCTCCTGCCTGCTCTCGGTTCTTCCAAAGGACCTGAAGTACGACGTCGGAGGCGGGGAGAAGTTTGATTCCTTGACGGACCTCGTCGAGCATTACAAGAAGAACCCCATGGTGGAGACCCTGGGGACGGTCCTTCAGCTGAAGCAGGTGAGAGCCACGCGCCGACCCGGCTCGAGATCTCTCACGGCACACATCAGAGGGCATCGGCTCGGGAAAAGCGGGCGCCGTGCAGGCGTGCTCTCGTCAATGGGCAAGGACTCCCTTCTCCCCCCCCCCTTCAGCTCTTGCTGATGCAAGCGATCCACAACTTGTCAGCAGCTCAGGAAATAAGTAGGGTGAAAGGTGGGAGTTGGAGGGAGAGGGGAGTAGGAAGTCGGGGCCCTGGAGAAGCCGCTTCCGCATGCCCATCCCAGAGGCCTCAAGGAGAGCAAGACGCGGTCTCAGCGCGGGTGCTGGAGCGGAGGCGGGTCTCCCCGTGGAAGGAATGCCTGAAGTTGCCCTGCACCAAAGACAGGCCGTCGGTCCACCTCTCTGTACGCTGCCTGTCTTGACCGGCTGCAGTTGTCCAAGGTCTCTGGGGGTCTTTCAGCTGGTGGTTCGGAGGGCCTTCTGCATGCGGACCCTGTGGCGCTTGGGGAGAAACAGGCAGTCCCTCTGGGGGCAAAAGTGGGGTGAAAGTTTTCTAAACAGAAACACATCCTCCACTGTTCTGTGTATGGCGGGATGAAGAATCGTGGGCCTCATTTCAGGCTTGTGAGAGTTGATGGGGGGGGGCCCTGTGTGATTCCTGGGTGCTTTGGTGCCGAGTCGCATGGCCAGTTCTTGAGCATCTGAGTTTGGTGCCGAGTCGCATGGCCAGTTCTTGAGCATCTGAGTTTGGTGCCGAGTCGCATGGCCAGTTCTTGAGCATCTGAGTTTGGTGCTGAGTCACATGGCCGGTTCTCGAGCATCTAAGTTTGGCCTCTCCTGTTGCAGAGCGATGGTCAGGAAGGAATTTTCACGCAGGCCAGATCAGCCCAGGGATCCTGGAGGGTTTTTTGCCTTCCTCTGGGCGTAGAGCAGGGGTCACTGGGGGAGTAGAGGGTAGCTGTGAATTTCTTGCATTGTGCAGGGGGTTGGACTAGATTATCCTTGGGTACCTTCCAGCTGTTTGTTTCTACAATCAGGCATTACTGAAACATTCTTAGAGCTTTAGTTGTTGTAGATTACCCGGGCTGCATGGCCGTAGTCTTGGCGTTGTAGAACCTGACGTTTCGCCAGCAGCTGTGACTGGCATCCTCAGAGGTATAACACAGAAAGATGGAGGACTCTCTGTGTCAAGGGGGGAAGAAAAATGGTAGGCAGGTAATTTATATCTACTCAGGAAGGTGGGGTTGGGCTGAGTCATTATCTTGTAGGAGTTCCCCAGGCTGTGAAACATGCTAATGGAGAATTTCAACAGCCAATCCATATGCAAAAGAACCTCCTCAGGAAAGCTCCTCTATTAGCATGTCACAGCCGGGGGAACTCCTACAAGATAATGACTCAGCCCTACCCCTCCTTCCTGAGTAGATATAAATTACCCGCCTACCATTTTTCTTCTCACCTTGACACAGAGAGTACTCCGTCTTTCTGTGTTATACCTCTGAGGATGCCAGTCACAGCTGGACTGGTGAAACATCAGGTCCTACAGTGCCAAGACCACAGCCACACATCCCAGAAAATCTACAACAACGAATGAACTCTGGCCGTTAAAGCCTTCGACAACATATTCTTAGAGCTGCTTCGGCATAATGCTTCCCTCCTCCTCTTACGTGAGGCTCTCGCAGTCTGGTAGGGACCACGGAAAGGGGACCATGCCATCTTGTTGCTCCTCTGTGGGTCTGGGGCAGGGGGTGGAAGGCGGCAGGGCTTGGCAGGCCTGGGCCAGCTTGGGGGGGAAGGCAGAAGACGTTCAGGTCAGGGGTCATCCCAGAAAGGCAGTCCAGGGCCCACACGGCCTTCAAGGTCAGGTGGCAGAGCACGGAGTAGAGGTTGGAAGTTGCTAGAGGGGCAGGGATGGGCAGTGACCAATCACAGTGGAGGGGGCGGAGCAAGGCAAAGAGCCCATTGAGCCACTTGGGCCTTTGTGGGGGGGAAACCCTTCCAAAAGGCCTGCTTGGGGCCCGGGAAGGCCCCACCCGCTTTCAGCATCTTGGCAAAATTAACTGGGCCGTCTGACCCCTCCTCTCTCTAACAGCCCCTCAATACCACCCGCATCAATGCAGCAGAAATTGAGAGCCGAGTTCGAGAACTGAGCAAGCTCGCAGAGACCACCGACAAAGTCAAGCAAGGATTCTGGGAAGAATTTGAGGTAATTGAGGGAAAACGGTACTCCCTCCGAGGCATTCTTAAGGGGGGGGGGCGCTTGTGTACAGCTGAGCAAATATTCTGGCGGTACTTATAAGATGGGGAGCTGCAGGCACATGTATTGGATATCCCATAACGGTCCGTGCAGACTAGACCCGTGCATGGGAGTTTGTTTCATTTCTTTCAGCTTTATTGTTAATTTCAAAATACGGTTTCATACAGTTTTATTTTGTCAGTTTTGTTTTCATAATGCTACGCAGCAGAACGAAGTTCGAGTCCAGTCAGTGGCGCCTTGAAGACCTTTGTCGGTCTTCAGAACTTTGTTGGTCTTAGAGGTGCCATTGGACTCGGGCTCCGTTCTCCTTCGAATTCTGTTGAGTTACTATTTCCCATTGGTTTCAACGGAAGACTGCCCCCTTCCCCCTTTTCTCGGGCATGTGCCTTCACAGTTTTCCATTCAGATTGAACAAGATGTGGGGTGGGGTGGTGTCCAGTGTTCCCTCTAAGCTGTGGAGTCTTGTGAGCAGAAATTCTACTTTGTGAGCTACTGGCGCTAAAGTTGTGAGCAACTGATTTGGCGGCTGTATAAATTCGTTTGCTCTGGACCCCGCCTTCCTGAGCTAGGACAAAAATGTGTGAGCCGGAGGCTAAAAAACTGTGAGCTAGCTAACACTAACTCATCTTAGAGGGAACACTGGTGGGGTCTAGCATTCTCCAGGGACATAGCCAAATTTCAGACAGACAGAATGGACCCCATAAAAGATTCCAAACAGCAACCCAGACAACACTGCAGGGACTGAGCTTGAAGGACAGTCGCACAAGAAGAGTAAGATGAGGGAGGGGGAGGGGGGGAGATTGGATTCATACCTAGAGATGTAAAATTTTCGGAAATTTTGAAGCTCGGAAAACCCCCCTGATTTTTTCCAGGGGAAAATGGAAATTTTCGGAAAAATTGAAAAAAATGCTACATTAGCATTTCTTTTGTCTTTTCCAGATTGAAAGTCATTCTGTTACTTTAGGAACATAAAATATGACTATGGGCATTTTTACTTGGCATGAAATTATCACAACTAGCATATTAAAAATATAGTGTATCCAAACAATTATTACAAACAGAATACCCACCCACATGCAAAAACAAAACTGAAACCTTTTTTATTTTCTTCTGACAATCGCACCTCCTAAAGGAAGAAATGCATCTTGTTCTTGCATTGGAGAGTTCACTTTGTAACCTAGGACTTGCTTGTCCTCAGTGCACAGAAATTAAATCAATCTGATACCATATATATATATATATATTAGAAATGATTTGGAAAATATTTGAACACCTGGTCTTAAAATATTATATTCATCATGTTAAAATAAAACGTTCCATAATCAAAAAAATTTCTTTTCTTTTCTTTTTTCAATTTTTCCAATTTTTCGGGAAAAAACAAAAAGGCTTCAGGAAAAAAACGGGAAAAAACCATTTCCCCCCCAAATTTTTCAGTTTTTTTTCCCGGGCTTTCACATCTCTATTCATACCCTTCCCTTCACTACCCAAGGGAGTCTCAGAGCGGCTTACAAACTCCTCTCCCTTCCCCTCCTCACCACAGACACCCTGGGAGCAGTGCTCCCTCTAAGCTGCGGAGTCTTGTGAGCAAAAGTTCTCCTATGTGAGCTACCGGCATTAAAGCTGTGAGCGAGCGATTTGGCTGCCGCATAAATCGGTTTGCTCTGGAGCCCTCCTCCCTGAGCTGAGACAAAAATGTGTGAGCCGGAGGCTAAAAAACTGTGAGCTGGCTCACACTCACTCAGCTTAGAGGGAACACTGCCTGGGAGGTAGGCGGGGCTGAGAGAGCTCTGACAGAAACTGCTCTTTTCAAGGGCAGCTCTGACAGAACTGTGGCTTGCCCAAGGTCATCCAGCAGCTGCAAGTGGAGGAGTGGGGAATCAAGCCCGGTTCTCCTAGATTAGCATCTGTGCACTTAACCACTGCACCAAACTGTAGCAGGAACAGGCAGACAGACAAGGCAAGGGCATTTGATGGCCCATGGAGGGGAAAGTGTCTGGGCAGGTAGGCGGCAGCAGTTGGATTCGCTTGGATGGGGATGGGGTTACATAAGAACATAAAAGAAGCCCATGTTGGATCAGGCCAATGGCCCATCTAGTCCAACGCTCTGTCACAGAGTGGCCAGGCGGGGGGCAGGGGACCCCCTGCTTTCGTGGGCTCCTGCCTGCCGATGGCCAGCAGGTCAGCAGGAGTCCCCCCCCAAAAAAAGTGCCATTGCGCATGATGCGCTGACATCACCCAGAAGTGACGTAGGCATGTCGATGATGTTGGGGCAGGAGGGTGACGCTCTGGTTTTTTGGTCAAAACTCTATGGTTTGAGGCAATGTTCCCTCTAAGCTGTGGAGTCTTGTGAGCAAAAATTCTACTTGGTGAGCTCCTGGCATTAAAGCTGTGATCAAGCCATTTGCCGACTGCATAAATTAGTTTGCTCTGGAGCCACCCTTCCTGAGCGAGGACAGAAATGTGTGAGCTGGAGGCTAAAAAACTGTGAGCTAACTCACACTAACTCACCTTAGAGGGAACACTGGTTTGAGGGCTGTTTTACTATAGAGTTCTGTCCAAAACTCCTGCCAAAACTAGCCGTTCAAAAGCAAGACATTGCAAGGAGAGAAATAGGTACCACTTCAGTGGGACGGTAACAGCGTCCCGTGCACCTCGGCCTCTAGTCATGCCGGCCACATGACCACGGAAACATCTTTGGACAGCGCTGGCTCTTTGGCTTGGAAACAGGGATGAGCACCGCATCCCTAGAGTCGGACTCGACTGGCTTTCGAGCAAGGGAAACCTTGACCTTTGCCCAAAAACCAGAGTGCTATCCCTGATGTTACCGGCATGCTGTCGCTTCCGGGTGATGTATACCGATTGTACGTGACTCCCCCCCCCCAGCACAATGATCAGATAGGGTTGCCAGCCTCCATGTGGGGCCTGGGGATCTCCCACTTTTACAACTGATCTCCAGCTGACAGAGATCAGCTCCCCTGGAGAAAACAGCTGCTTTGAAGGGTGGACTGTATTGCATTGGCCCATGCTGAGGCCCCTCCCCTCCCCGAACCCCGCCCTCTCCTGACTCCACCCCCAAAGCCCTACGATCAGACCTGGCGACCCTAGATGGGGGAGGGGGATAAGGTCTGGAGAGCAGCGGGCAAGCAAGGGAGGGCACATGCGGCACAAGGTGGCAGGTAGGGGTGTGCAAAAAAAAAAATTCGGTAAAATTCGGATTCGGGTTTATTGAACCTGAATTTTTTCGGGAAACCCGAAAAAACCCGAATTTCTATACCAGTAAACCATAGATATCCGAAAATTTTCGGAAAACCCGAAAAATTCGGGTCCATTATAACCAATGGGGCCATTGAAGTCAATGGCAAAAAACCTCTTGAAACTTTGCGGGGGACTGGGG